TTTTTTTTTTTTAATTGCACAGTAAAAAAAAAAACCTCAATGCATCATTTCAGCCTTTCCATCAAAAACTAGAGCAGCGTGTATGAGTATTCGAGAGAGATTAAGCGAGACTGAGCAGAGTTTGCCATTTGATGACAGGTAATTACACTTAAGCCTAACGAAGCGGAGGATGATGTTATGATCAGACTCCATTTCCAGTTTTACAGGTCAGGTAGGCCCTGCTATGCCCGAGGAACCTTGTTCTTCTGTGTATTGTAATTGTGCCTTTTAACGCTCATATTACTCTGAATGGTGTCAGGTAAATCACACATCATTGAAAGACTTCATACAAAAGTTCACGACCTTGACTCCACAAATGAAGTAATAGGTGGAAGGTTGCAACCTTGAATGTAACACACAAAAACACATTTATTTAATGTTTTTGAAAGTGGATTATGTTCACCAGGGCTACATTTATTTGACAAAAATAAAAACGGTAATATTGTGTTTTATATATTTAATGAATATTACAAATTAAAATGTGTTTTCTATTGTATGTATTTTATTCCTGTGATGCAAAGTTGAATTTTTAGCAGCCGTTACTTACTCTTCAGTGTCACGTGATCCTTCAGAAATCATTTAATATACTGATTAATATTGTGCTCAGGGAAAATTATTCTTATTATCAGTGCTGAAAACAGTTGTGCTGCTTAATATTTTTGTGGAAACCATGGTACTTCTTTTTTTCAGGATTATTTGATGAATATGAAGTTCAAAATAATTTTATTTGAATTTTATTTCAAATGGAAATCTTTTTTTAACGTTATAAATGCCTTTACACTATCACTTTTGATCAAATTAATGCACCATTGCTGAATAAAAGTACCAATTTCTCTACAAGGAAAAGAAAAAGAAATAAAATCATAGTGATTCCAAACTTTTGAATAGTAGTAGTATTTAATTGCGGAAGAATGAGCGAGAAAGACATATTAGTGTTTTAGTGTTTCTCAGTCTCTAGCGTTTTGAAAGAGACTGGTCTGGCCGCTATTGGTTTTGTCTGGAACGGTGAAATCCAAGAACAGTCCTGGGCCTCATATAGCCTCATTAACATGTGGCAGGGGAAAAAAAACGGGGGAAAACCCTCCTCGCCCCTCCTTTCCTGGGGAAGCGGCTCAGTTGAGGGAAAGATCGAATGAGGGAGTGAAAGAACGAGGGCAATGGGCACAGATGAAGTGTTAATAGTGGCCATGACAGATGGGTTGCAGAGGGACCAGCCTTTCCTCATGAACGCCCATCAAAGACTTCGTCAGCTTGAGCTTTCAGCCTCTGACACAAATGAACCTTGTGGTGAGCGATCACAGCCCACAGGCTACTCCCCAGCTAACAGCGTCTACAGACTCCCTCTTACAGATAAAGGAGTGTGAGAAATAGTGCTGAGGTTGAGGTTTCCTCTAAATTGGTTTCAGCAAGTTTATGATTTCATCTGGCAAAGGACTTTCTAATGTGACCCAGATACGTAAATAAATATGGTGCTGTGCTCTTCAATATTACAAAACAACAAACGGTGTCTTAACCAGATGCAAGGTGTGAAATTTACAGCAATGTGACACATCAGGGTCAATCAATTCAATTCAATTCAAGTTTATTTGTATAGTGCTTTTCACGATACAAAGAACACATATGATATTTAATATACATTTGTGTGTCAGGATTTTGGATCATTTAGGTTCTGTGACTGGAGTTACAATGAGTGACTCCACAGAAATAGAAAATGAAATAGACTGCCCCATAGGGTCAGGAAAAATTTTACATGAAGTGCTTGTGTTTGCATCTGATTAGGACGGCTGGACATGGGACATCTGAACCTTTGCAGGGGGCTCACGGTAAACATTTTATTTTATTATTAGAATCTATTTTAAGTTTAAGTTTAATGTCTGCAAATATACCTTTTTAATTTAAAATGTTATACAATTTTTATTTATAAATACAAATTCGTTTTATTTTGTAATTGTACAAGTTTTATTTGTTTGCCACTAGCTTATGATTTTATTAATTATAATTTTATGTACAAGTGCAAATGTATTTACTATTTAATGTTATTACACACATTTTATGAAATGTATTATTTTATAACATTATTATACTAATATTAATTAAACTCTAATTGATTATACAATTTTATTTTATTTGTAAATGTAAAAAAATTATATAATATAATATATAATATAAAATATTTTATTAGTTTGCTACCGTTTCATTTTATGATTTTACTTACAATTTTGTGTAAGAATACAAATTAATTTGTATAGGTTATTTTTACAAGTGTATTATTCTATAACAATATTATACCAATTTTATTTATAAATACTAATTAACTGATTATACAGTTTTATTTATGTATTTGATTTATCTTATTTTATTATACAAATTTGGTATTTATTTGCCACTATTTTATTAAATAAATTAAATACAAATATTTATTTTAGAATTTTATTTAACAAATTTTACCATTTATTTTATCATACAAATATTATTTGTAAATACGAATTTATTCAATTTATGTTTTAACATTATTACACAAATGAATTGTTGCTTTGTTGGTTTGTTAGTCATTAATGCAATTTGCTTACCTAGAGGTGTTTCACACTGCATAGAAACTGCAATTCATTAATCTGCTAATGTAAAATTCATACTGAGGGGTGAATTGTCTGGTGCTTTTGAGATAGAGCAGGAGAAAGAGAGAAACCCAACTCATGATATAGTCTGGCCTCTGTTTCGTGACCATGAGAGGGTAAAAAAATAATAAACTTGTTTAAAAGCACCATGAAAACAAACCATCATTCATGGGTGGCTTTGTGCTTGATGAGGGCAGCAAAAGCACTCTGGCTGTGTTTAAAATCAGTCAGGACACCCGGTTAACTTCAGACCAGTGGCACATGTGTTTGGTTCTTATAGGGGAGCTTAGATTTCATGGGTTCAACATCAAAAATCTCCCCTCTGTCTCTCTCTCCACCTATATCATCCCTCTTTAGACTCCAGACACTTGAGGGAGGGAAGGAGGTGTTCCTTTTGGGTTGGCACGACCGGACATAACAGTGAGAGAGCTTACTGAGAGCGATGGGCAACCCTAAAAGGGCAAGTGACAGCAACACGATACCGCTCTTAAATAAGCATGCAGAGTCTATCACACGCACAGTTCATGCATTTAGCATGCATCTCCCATAATTCCTTGCAAGTGGCGATACATTTGTACAGATGTCACCCATTTGTTCTTGTCATCCTCTATTTGGCGAAGAGGGTTTTAGATTAGTGTGGTATTAAGTAACTATGTATTCCCACTCTCAAGCCAAACCACTCTCCTCTGAGATGCTGCAGGACGTGTCCATGTATAGCTAACAGCACAGCTCTGTTAGGCCTAAAACAAATGGTCCGCCGTCATGTGGTATTATCGCTGTGGCTACTGCATTTATAGCTCCTAAGGCTCTCACAGCTGGCTGCACAGTGCTATTACTATCCCACGTAACATTAAAAAAAAAAAGCTATATTTCTGTATCTATCTTTTCCAATCACATGACAAAGGCTCATGCTATAAATAAAGAGAGCTCAACCAACACTATGCAATGGCTCTTTGTGGGTTAGCTGTGCTGGCTGGCTGGATTCATTCATTCATTCATTCGTGCATTCATTCATTCGTGCATTTGTGCATTCATTCATTCGTGCATTCGTGCATTTGTGCATTCATTCATTCGTTCATTCGTGCATTTGTGCATTCGTTCATTCATTCATTTATTTGTGCATTCGTTCATTCATTCATTTATTTGTGCGTTCGTTCATTCATTCACTCATTTGTGCATTCGTTCATTCATGCATTCGTTCATTCGTGCATTTGTGCATTCATTCATTCATTTGTGCATTAATTAATTCATTCATTCATTTGTGCATTCATTCATTCATTCATTTGAGCATTCATTCATTCATTCATTTGTGCATTCGTGCATTCATGCATTCTATTTTGGCATTAATTAATTAATTTATTTGTTTAGCATTTATTTGTGCTTCTATTTTTGGCATTTGTTTATGCATTTATGCTTTTATCTATTAATTTTATTTGTTTGTGCATTTATTATTCATTTATTTATTTGTAAGCAAATTTTCTGCAAATTCTTTATGGGTAAATCTGCAATGGCATTTTATTTGTTTAAAACCATAAATTATTTAATTGCAGATTAGCCATAATTCATTAAATGAAGCATTTCTGTCTCGCCCTCCCCTTTCAGAACAATTAACCTTCAGCTCTTTCACAGAAGACGCAGGTACAGGCATGATATGAACTTTCTGAGCCTCAGGTAGCTTCGTCAACCCAAAGCTATAAAATACGTCAGCTTTTTAAACTAACATAACTATAAAAATATTTTATTTGCAAATACTGTGACACCCGTGAAAAGCGTTTTTGACCCAGCGGTCATATGAGTGTCTGTATGACATTTATGGTTTTAGGTTCCTCGATCTGTGACTGAGGATCAGTAGATGTCTTATGGCTACTGTGGGCTTGGAGGTGTTAACGTGTCGGTCTCTTTGAGTTAATGAACAATCAGTAAGTAAACCAATATGATCTCGGTGTAAAATGCTGAAGATTGTTTTGGTACTGCAATGACGACATCTTGTCAGGAAAGAGATTATGGCTATTCTGCTGTACTTTGACCCAACAAGGACAATTGACGTCAAATGTGACGCATCAAATCACATTTTATTCCTTCCTGACTGTATTTACTGATACGCAGCTAATAACTCATATTAATTAACAAAATAATTAATAACATAAAAAATGTTATAGTTCACCCAAAAATGAAAATTGTTATAAGTTTTGACAACATTCACCCTCATGTCGTTCCAAACCTGTACGAGTTTCTTCTGTTAAACACAAAAGAAGATATTTTGAAGAATGTGGGAAACCATCCAGTTTTAAATGATTATACAATATAATAATAACAGTTTTGTAAACATAGGAATCATCATCTGACTGTGAAGTAAACTGATACCCCTTTAAAACTCTGCTGTGCATTAAAGATAATTTAGTGAGCAGCATTTTATATGCTTTATTTACTCAAATAACTTATTTTTGGGACTGTCATTTTAAGATGAATCACTTGCCTTCCCCTTCAAACTAAACAAATGTGAATTTACATTGTACACATTTTGTCATACATTTGTCATCATTTTGAGTACTTTTGGTCAATGTAGGATGTTTGGGGAAAAAAAAAAAAAAGTAAAATATCTTTATTTTTTTAATCAATTGAAGTGACGCCCAAGACCGCTTTCAGGTTAAGTTAGATGAGCATGTAATGGAGCCTGGATAATGTCTTCTTTTACACACTTTGACACGCATACACAAACGCACAGACATTCTCATACAGTGACGCCACCTTTGTCTTGGTTTGCCGAAGCCACAACAATTCTGACAAGACTTATTCCTTCTAGAGGCCTCACACGATAATGCAGAATCTCTCTTGGAGTCAATCCTCATGTCCTCATCTGTTTACTAAAGCGTGAAACATTTTTAAATCAAGTTTTTCTCTTAGATCATAATTGAATCAAGCTCTAGTAAGCATCAAGAGTCACTCACAGTCGTCTGGTGGGTCTTTGTCTTTCAGGGTTTGTGTACACGGGTCCTGATGAATGTGCTTTGACTGGCTGTTCTGCAGTGTTCTGTCTGCACTTATCTGAGGTTACTTACAGATCCAAACACAACATGTAATGCATCAGTGTTAGCATAAATACAAGGGCACATCGAGTTTTGGTGGCCCGTATCACTGAGTACACCATAGTAATTGTTACTCTGCGTTATGGTGATAACATCAAACCATATTATATTGGCTGTTTATTGTGATTGTGGGTCAAAGGTCTCACTCTGAGAAGTTGAGTTTGCAGGGCAGTAGCCAACAAGGAAACAGCACTGAGGATAAAGAGTGTGTTTATATATAAAAAAGACATTATAGAAAGGCTATTTAATGGATTACTCCTAATTTATGCAATAATTTAATGTAATTAATCATGATTCCTGAACTATAAATTCTGCAAGAAGGGATTTTCATAATATTGGAGCGATTTAAAGCTTTAAGTATTGTCGCAGTAATGTAATTTTCATACAAATGATCTTCATTTAGGGCCTTTGTAATTTTATATATATATATATATATATATATTTATTTATTTATTTATTAACAAGCTAAGTAACCATGAATACTATTACTACTACTAATTTATTATAATGTATATTTTTAAATTATTATTATTATTATTATTATTATTATTACTTTTATTTATTATTATACATTATAAAAATGCTTTATTTTATTATAATGTATAATTTAAATTTCTACTGTTATTATTAATTATTATTATTATTATTATTATTATTATTATTATTATTAAAGTAAGCCATATAGCATAACGGAAAAGGCAGGGTAGGGTATCAGGGATCCAGTCATGAAAAGGCTTTGGAGGTCATCATGATAATAGGATTCATACAGAGAAACTATAGGGAACACAGAAACTATAGGAATTTGTTCATTTAAAGTTAATTTAAAACACGCATGCACACATACTTAGCTGTTTAACTACACAAGTAACTTATTATGCAACCATAAATTCAATTCTGATTTGAAAACATCTTGTTTTAGGTCGCTTCTCGCGTGATCTGTGTAGGCGAGTGTTTGCAGCAGCACAAAAGAGGCTTTGTTCCAGCAAACACACACACCACACACGAATGACATCACTCTTGTGAGTGTGACTGCAGCGAATCAGGATGAAACCCTTTTGGTGTGTGTGCATGAATGTGAGCTAGTGGTTTGAAGCCGTACCTCAGAGGGTATGAGGTTTTCTTTTCCTCCTGATTTTAGCGATTCGTTTTCACACGTTATTCTCAAGTAGGTCTTCCATTACTTTGTGAAGATAGTGTGAGTCTTACAGTATTTGAACCTACATACACAGACACACTAAAACAGTATGTGTAAAAAAAAAAAGTGTGATAACCATAAGTGGGCAGATTTATTTACAAATAAATGATATCGAAAGGATGCACAAAGTCAGATATGAAACAAAAACCTTTGTACACATACCGAAAGAATAAAATCCCATCAAACACGCACACAAAAGATGAAAGGCAAACATTCAGAAGACTGGCATGTGTGTTTTCCATTTGCAGACCAGCAGAGGTATTGGGTTACTGATGATAGTGGTGACCGGGCCAAACATTAGCCTTGATCCATGTAACTGTAGTCTGTCTGAGCGGGTGACACGTGTGGCAGAAACACACGTGTGATGTGAGCGCTGCTAGGGAAGTCCTGTCCCACCGCAAATACAATCGTTTGCATGGGAGATTTCGATAAATGTAAATGATTGCTTTGTGTGTGTGAGCATGTGTGTTTCCCAAGACCTCTCCTAGGAACTGGAGGGGGTTTAGTGTGATTATGTGCCAGTGGAGAGTGTGTGTGTGTGTGTGCACGCACAAAAAAGTAAACAAATGTAAGCATGAAGTATGCATTTGCTGTAAACCACAGTTTAGCGGGGGAAGATACTTCAGCTTGCCAAAGCCATTTTTCAACTCTAGAAAAACGAACGCAATAGCAAACTACTTTGAAAAGAAGCAATACATTTTAAAATATATTACTATTAGATAGAATTTGCGACTTTAAAAAGAAAGTTATCTTTCAAGTCAAATTCCAGTAAGTAACATCATTATTCTTCCACAAATAAATTTGCACTAAAGGCAATTACAAAAAGAAAAAGGAAAAAAAAAAAAACCCACCTGCCACAAATTGTTTCTTTTTAAACTGTCTAGACAATCTGATTCATTAAAATTAATCTGACTTTTTAATGAGTCAAAGATATGATGTTGCAGCAGAGGTTATTTATTAACTGGAAAAGCTACACTTTTTTGAAGGCTATTAATATACTGGCGAGCCATTGAAAATGTACAATGGGTATAGAAAAGAATCAGCCCCTTTAAAATAATCACATGTTGTTGCTTTGCAGCCTGAAATGAAGACAGACACGGTTTTTGTTTTATCCAGCTGTATTTACTCAGTGCAACTTATAACATCCAAGTGAAAAATATAACATCAACATAAAAAACAGAATTACTGAGTTGGCAAAAGGATCATCCCCTCGTGTCAGTATTTTGTTGAACCACCTTTTGATTTAATTACCGCCTTTAGTCTGTTGGGATTTGTCTCTACTAACTTTGCACATCTAGACTTTGCAAAATTTGGCCACTCTTCTTTGCAGAACTGCTCAAGTTCAGTTCAATTTGATGGTGAGTGTTTGTGGACTGCAGTCTTTAAGTCTTTCCACAGATTTACAAAGGGGTTTAAGTCTGGGCTCTGACTAAGCCATGCAAGGACATTCACCCTTTTTCTCCTTCAGCCACTGTGCGCTCAGTGTGCTCTGTGTGTTTTGGGTCTTAGTCATGTTGGAAGGTAAACCTTCTTCCCACTGACAACTTTCTGGCAGAGGGCAGCAGATTTTCCTCAAGAATTTGATGGTGTTTGGTGCATCCATTTTTCCGTCTGTACTGACAAGTGCTCCAGTCCCTGCTGCAGAGAAAC